CTTTATTTTCTGCCTCTTCCTCTTTTTCCTGCTAGCCCCTCAGCGCTTTGTCTTTCTTTTCAGTCTGCCTGTCCCCCTCCTTTCTGCGTGCGTCTCTCTGTTATTCATGACTTTTAACTCTTTTTTTTTTTTGAATAAAAACTGAACTCTTTCTCTTTTTCTTTTTTTATGACTCAACTTTCTTTCGTAAAATTTCCTCCACTTTCTTCTCTTTCGTTCTTGCCCTCTTCATTTCCTTTTCATCTTTCTTCTTTTGGGTTTTCTGCTTTCTCTCCTTTTCTCAATTTCTTTTTCTCTCGCTGCCCCCCGCCTTTTCCGTGTCCCCTGACAATCTCACGCTCCTCTCCTTTCCTCCCGCCTCTCTGAGCTCACGGCCCCTCTGCCACCGCCTTTCTCTGGTCCTTCTTTCCTGTCCTCCCAGCCTCCCCTCGCCCTCTTCTGCTCCTGTGTCTAGCTGCGTGCGGGTCTCTGCAGCGGGGTCCCCAGGCTGGAGGGTCCCCAGGCTGGACGGAGGCACAGAATTTGGGCAGGATGCCCCCCTTTCTCTCCACCATAGAGTCCAAGCTAGAAGCCTGGAACTCACCCCGCCAGAGCTCCCTCCACCCGCTCTTTGCCCGGATCCTGCCAACCCATTTTGCTTGGGCCCCACGGCAGCAGGGGCAGGGGATCTGGCGGGCGGGTCCATGTAGACGTAGCAGGAGGCTCACCTTCCATGTCCCTGGTGACGGTGCTGAAGTGCATCCCGGCCGGGGATCCCAGCAGCCTGCGAAGCTTCGCCGGGTCGGAGAACCCCGGTCCCAGGCGAGCGGTGTGCTCTGCGGCCTCTGCTGCAACCAGAGAGGCAATGCTGAACGCGCTGGCCCGGGGAGACAGCGGGCTCCGTGCGTCCATAGGCGCCCGGCGGCCTGACCGGCGCCGCCTCCGACTGCGTGCACCCGGCCCCACCGAGGCCGGCCCAGCCCTCGGGCCCCGGGGGCGGGGGCCTGCGGTGCCACTCACAGCCGCCGGCCCTGGGCCCAGGGGATTATGGTGTCACGGCCCCCCACTCTGGGCCGGTGGCAGCCGAGGGGCCCTGATGGGTTGAGAGCCCTGGGGGTGTGGGCCCTCCTGCTTTTCAAGGTCCAGGCCCCTTGCCTCTGCTCCCAGGGGCCTCCATGACCAGCACCCCTTGGACATCCCGCTGCTCCCCGAGGCCTGGGTTCCCTCTGTACAGCGAAGCCATCAGCTTCCCCAGCCCCCGAGGGGAGGTGGGGACGCTGGGAGCGCCCAGCCCCAGCCCGAAGCAGTGGGGCACCGGCCCTGCCCCTGTCCTCCCGCCTCCTCTTCCCCGGCTGCCCCTGCACCTGGGTGAGGAGAGGGCAGTCCGGGCTCCGGCACTGGCCACAGGCGGACAGCCCCAGGGCCACGGCGTCGTCCTTTCCTCGGTGCTCAGGGACAGGACCCAGCCCAGCAAGCGGCCCCCAGCCCTCTTCGGTCGGCTCACTGTCGTGGCTGGGGACCCTGAGCAGAGGGACGCCGCCCAGGCCAAGCAGCCCGGGAGCCCGAGCGTCACGCGCACCCGCGCGCACCACCCGCCTCTGGCCAGGACGCTTATACATCCGGAGGGTGGGCAGTGCCCGCTCCTCCGACCTCCCCGCGCACCGGCCGGGTGCAGGGAGGGCCGGGGGCGGGGCCTGGACTGGCCGAGGGAGCCGAGGACACGTCGGAGGAATTCAGGCCGCAGGCCGGGTCGTATGCTGCCCCTCGCTCACCACCCACCCCACAGCCAGCCTGCCCGCCTGGGAAGGCCCTACTGCCCAGTTGGGCCTTCAGGCCCAGGCATCCCAGACGCTAAGACCTGACTTGGCCTGTGCTTCTGCGCACCTACTGCCTCTGAGGCCTCTCTGCCCAGTTCAGGGCATCCATGGACTTCCAGTCCAGAGTCTCCCCAGCAGGGCGCCAGGCCTCCCTGCTGCCAGGATCCTCTCTGGCCCTGCACTGAGGCTCTGGCAGTCAGGCCTCCATTTCCAAGGCCTCTGTTGCTTTGCCTGCGCTTGCCTGGATGGGGGTGGGAAGCAGCAGCCTCTCTCAGGGCTCTTACAGTCCCAGGGCCTCAGATCCCAGGCTGGAGGGGATGCTGGCTCTGAGGCAGGAAGGCCCAGAAACTGGGGACCTGGGAGTGGGCTCCAGTGGGAAACGCCTGGCTCCCGGGCCTGAGGTCCAGGAAAGATACATGGCTGGAGTCAAGTCGGTGAGCATGTGGGCCCTGCTGTGTGACTGGGGTGGGTGCGTGTGACCTCAAGCACAGTGAGCCCCGCCCCACCCCCTAGGCTGGGGCTGCGGCTTTGTGGACCATGCCAGAAAAGGGAAACTGTTGCCAGGGTGTGCCCCCCACCCAGAGTGGCCACGTGGGGCTGTGACAGTGACAGTGATCTGTGGGGCCCAAGAGCAGGTCCAGGGAGTGGTGTGATGCGCCAGGCCTCCAGGACCCCAGGTGGAGATGCTCCTGGTGGAGGGAGAGCCCGGCTGGCAGGGGAGTTGGTGGGGGCAGGTCGTGGTGGTACTGCAGGAGGGGAGCCCGTGCTGAGGGTCTGCACCTAGAGAGGCGTGCAGAGCGGTCACCATGGGTACCTCTTGCTGGTGGTCTGCATCCAACCTGCAGGTGGGTGCGTGGGGTGTGTGTGGTTGTATGCCATCTGGGATGTGTGTTGTCCTGGCATGTGGGGGTGCCCGTGGTTGTGTCCTGTGCACCTGGGGAGCCTTCCTTGTATACCTGGGCGAACACCTGAAGACAGTGGGCAGGTGCCCAGTCTGAGGCAGACACCAATGTTGAGAAAGGAGAAATGAAAGTGAAAAACTCTGGGGCTTCTGGAGTCGCAGGGTCAGCCTCCTGGGACCCTGTCCTGAGGTCCCTGGCCCTCGGAGTCTGAGGTGGTAGACAGGAGATGGGGTCCTCCCAGCCCCTCATTAACCCCTTCATGCCTGAGCTGGGATCTGGGAGGCCACGCTAGGTGGGGAAAAGCGTGGGAGCAGAAAGGACGCTGTGGCATGGGCCAATGGGCCAATTCTGGTCGAGAGAGTGCTGGAGGAGGTCAGGGCCGCCCCGTACCGCTCCGCCTGGGACTGGCAACCCTGCTTCCCAGGCTGCAGCTACTCACCCGAGCAATTGCAGACCCCGAACCCCTCTGTCAACGCCCGGTCCCTGCTGGAATCCAACTGCAGGGGCCCAAAGAGGCCTGAACGCTGCGGAGTCACCGCCTCCCGCGCCTCCGGGGTGAGCTCCTCGGACCCTCCTCCGTCCCTCCCGGGGCGATCCGCCGCTCTCCTCACCGCCCGCCACCGCCCCACCCACAGTGCCCCCACCGCCCAGACAGAGCTCGCGCCCTCTGGTCCCGCCGACGCCCCGCACACCGTGTCCGCGCGCGCCGCTGCCTGCGGGAAGTCCTCATCCCTCACCTGGAGCGGCTGCGGTTCCATTCTGCCTCGCTCCCCCTGCCGGCTGCACCTCCGGGAGCGTGAGGTAGGAGGCCTGGCTGGGCGCCGGCCCGACCGGGCTGGAAGGGCTGGGCGCTGCCAGGGGTCGTGCGCTGCTCGGGCTCTGCCTCCTTAGGGCGCGGCGTGCCCCTCCACCTGGGACGTGGGCTGAAGACAAGACCCGCATTTCGCTGCGCCACTTGGCAGCGAAGGGGGAACTAGGATGAGGCCACTTTACAGGCCCTAAAACCGAGGCTCTGCTTTGACCGGCCTCCGCGAGGTACGGGGACCAGAAGTCTAGCTGAGGACAGGAGGCGGCAGGGGCGGGATGGAGCCGAGGCAGCCGCCCATCCTGGGTGCAGAACGGGCTGCAGCCTTTGCTTCTCTCTGCGGGCCCTGCGCTGGGTCCCACGAGGGCACTGGGATGCATCCCAGCGCTTCCCCTGGCACCTTGCGTTTGGAGGCTTACTCATCCCCCGCCCCAGCATCTTCAGAGTTTTGCCCGAAGCAAGTGCTGTTTCAGAGGTTTTCTCCCCAGCGCGCAGAAAGAGGCCCCTGGAGAGTCTGGCTGCACTGCTGCACCCAGCTCCGCCTCCCCGGAGCGCACGTGGCTTCCTCAGGGCAGCCCTCAAGACTGGAGCCCTCACAGCTTTGGGGGGGACCCCACTCCTCACTCTCCCGCCACCATAAAGGCACTTCGACAGCGCCATGCCCAGCACTCAGAATTCACTCTGGGCCTCTCTGTTCCCACCCTTGGAAGGACCTTCGCGCCCTTGTGCATCTCTAGTGGGCGCCAAGCCCACCGATTGTTGTGCTCAGGTGCTCCGCGAGACAAGGTGGGGCACCACCCGCTCCCCCAGCCTGGGTCTCCCGCTATCTGGGGCACAGGCGCACACAGATGAATCTGAGCGGTCGGCTGGAGGGTGTGAGTGCGCGGAGCACTGGGGACCCTGTCCCCCAGGAACTAGAGCACCGAGCGGGGCAGAGCCATCTCCTCCACCCGGGGTTCAGAAAGAGAGGGGCTGGGCTTTTCTTGACCCGGTTCATTCGTTTCAGGATTGATTCACCGGGAACTGCCTCCAGGGCCTGCCTAGACGGGCCTCGGTGCTCTCGCAGGCAGGCCCCGCACCGGGAGCGGCCTGCGCCCTGCCTTTCTGCCGCCAGCAGCCGCTCCTCCCCGGCCCCGCGGCCCGGGTGGCTGGGCCTCCGGGGGCCAGGCCTCGGCGGGAGGCGGGAGGGGGTGAACTTCGGTGGAGCCGGGAGAGGCGGGTGCGCAGGGCAGCTCCATTCTCCCTTCGCAGCTCCATTCCTCCTCTCCGCTCCCCGCCCATAGTGGGCGCCTCGCGCAGGACCTCGGCCCCTGGGTGCGTCTCATCTGCCTCCATCCAACAAAAGCGCTTGGCCCGCAATGCCGACAAATGGGGCTTTCTGGGTGGCCCGCTTGGGCGTGAATGGGCAGCGACCCTGAGCCCCCGAGGTGGGCGGGTGGGGCCGTTGTGGGGTGGACTCCCTCTCCTGGCCCCTGGCTGGGGAGCCAAAGAGGACTCATGGGCTCCACCCATGAGGCAGGGAGGAACGGGCGCTGTCCGCGCCGGTGGCTCTTGCGCGCCAAGCTCGTGGCCCCACTGGCTCCAGCGCGGTCTGCGCGATCTACCGTGGGTTTGCAGACCCTTGGGTGGTGCGGGGGCTGGGGGGGCGGTGCTGGGCTGGGACCAGGGCCTGTGGGAGCTGGTAGTGAGGCTGCATCCATCCCGGGCAGGGGTGGTTTCCCTGCCCCTACCCCGCTGGCCTGGTCTCTTGTGACACCGCCTGCAGGTTGAAGGAGGTGACTCCCTCTCCCCAGCCTGGGGGCTCCATACACCTGGACTAGCAGTGGCTCTGTTGGCCCCCTAACTGCTCCCAGGCCCTTCCCTCGGGGTGCCCCCAACTGAAGCACAAGTCCCTGCGAGCCCACCCAGGCCTCTTCCTTGGTGGTGGGCTCTTACCCCAAACTCTGGTGGGGGACCCTGTGCTGGGCCCTGAGCCCCAGGTGCATGTAGGGTTCATGTGTGGGGGACTGAGGACTGTGAGGAGGTGCCAGGCAGAACCCATGGAGTTCTTGGCAAAGGCTGGGGACCAGAAACAGCCTGGCATGTGCTCTTTGGTGGCTTGGAGAGGACTCTGGGTGGGTGAGCTGAGCCATGCCCAGGGAAGGGTCTGGTGCCCTCGCCCCTTCTGTGGCATCACCTGGGACTCTTCCAATACCCCAGTGCCACCTGCCTCCTGATCGAAGGGCCTGGACCCCGGGGGGCCAATGACTGCAGATTGAACAAAGGGCAACTGAGGGGGCGGACACGGACGCTGGAGGGTGTCACCTGAGGGGTGACAGAGAAAGCAGCACAGAGGCACACACTTCTGTGACACCAGCCCCTCAGAGCCAGGAGGGATGGGCCAGGGTCAGCACAGCCATGCACAGCTGGGTGCAGCCGCCCATCCGCCCTGGGCCTGGCTGTACTCCCCTCACTGAGGGTGCTGTCTTCTGGGCCCAGTGCCCAGGAGGACAGATGGGCGGAGACAGCGAGGGGATGGCCGGACCGGATGGGGCTGTCGGTCGGGCCTGGGTGATAGCACCCCCTGCCCCCCACAGGGCACCAGGGCCCCCTGCAGGCTGGAAGTTCCCACAGCTCTAGAACAAACAAACAGACGGCCCAACACACAGCCTGGCCCTGGGCCCCTCTCCAATTTCTCAGCCTGTTGATTTAGCTGCCCACTTGGTGGGAGGACCCAGCCACATGGGGAGCTGGCTGTCCATCTGTCTGTCCATCTACTGGCCACACTGGCCCCTCCACCCCAGGTGCTGTCAGGCAGAGGTGGGGCTCAGAGACCCAGGTGACCTAGATTTAGGCCGTCCACAGCTTCTGCTTTGTGGTCAGGACAGGGGGAGCCACACTCTCCAGGGAAAGGGATAGGCCCTCAAAGCCCCTGGGTGTGTTGGCTGAGGGTGAGAGGCCAGAAGCTGGACACCTGCAGACACTCTTCTCAGGTTCCTCTGGCTGGCAGGGGACACTGACTGGGTACAAACACAACTGTGAGCAAGGACACGAGTGTACATGCATGCACACACCACACACATACGTGAACGTACCCACAGACGTGTGTGCGCACACTCTTGTGTAGCACACCGTACACACGTGCACACGCACACACCACACGGGCAGAGTGCACATCCAGGCACATGCAGAACACATACACACGGGCTGAGTGCACATCCAGGCACGTGCAGAACACATACACACGGGCTGAGTGCACATCCAGGCACGTGCAGAACACATACACAGATACGCACGCGCGTGCATGTGCACCCCCTACAGTGACCCCTGGAACAAGTCATCAATGTCGAGGACTCTCACCTCAGTAACTCAGGTGGTCCTCAGCCTTACTTGGCTTGGACAAGGTCCATGTGGAGCCTCAGGCACTGCACAATGAAGATCAAAATGTTTCAGTCTGCTCTTGTGGGATTATTTCCTGAAAGTGACACCCTCAAATGATGCCCCTGGAGGAAGGTCCAATGGCCAGGACGATGCCCTGGACGTTGGGGACAGGAAGAGTCTGCCATAACAGTTCACTCAGCGGGGACCCTTCTGGGAGGGTCAGTCTCCATGCTCAGGCCCCAGCCCTGAGTCGGGCTTGGTGGGTAAGATGAGCAAGGAAGCTCTGGGAAGACACGGGGGCAGGGCCAGAGGCATGAGCAATGACCACCAAGCTGGGGACTCCTGCACCTTTGTTAACGGGGCCTCGCCAGGGCAAGCTCCCCACAATCAAAGGATGTATCGTGTCTCCTCTTCAAGATACAGCAGTTGTAATAACTGAATATATCAGACTTGGAATTTCCATTAAATGCTTGATTCAGTTAGCAATTTAAATTCAAGTTGTCAGGCTTCCCTGGTGGCGCAGTGGTTGAGAATCCGCCTGCCAATGCAGGGGACACGGGTTCGAGCCCTGATCTGGGAAGATCCCACATGCCACGGAGCAACTAGGCCCGTGAGCCACAACTACTGAGCCTGCATGTCTGGAGCTTGTGCTCCGCAACAAGAGAGGCTGCGACAGTGAGAGACCCGCGCACCGCGATGAAGAGTGGCCCCCACTGGCCGCAAATAGAGAAAGCCCTCGCACAGAAACGAAGACCCAACACAGCCAAAAATAAATAAATAAATAAAAGATGCCTCTCTTTAGATATCTATTAAAAAAAAAAATTCAAGTTGTCCACGTTTTCGTTGTGACAGCCCAGCTTTCTCTTTGGAGAAGCTCCGGGTGGAAGTTGGTCTGAGGCAGTGGAGGGTTGGCTCTGTGCCCGAGCCCCTCTCCGTCCCCTCTGCTCCCTGGCGGAGCCCCCAGGGCCGCTGGGTCACCCCATTAGCCCAGAACCACCGAACTGGTGTCCAGAGCTTCTGCCCACTGCCCTCGGCAGGCCCACGTCCAGGACCCTGTGGGCAGATAGGAGGCCGAGGCCTGGGGAGACCAGGGGAGGCAGCAAGGTCCCTCCCCAGCTGCTCTGTCTGGACTCCCCTTCTAGGGGAGGAGCTGCTGGGAAGAAGGCGGGGACGACGTTTTGGAGGAGATGGGCCCTTCAGAGCAGGCAGAGCCAGGGCGGATGGTGTGGCCCAGACATCACAAGCTGAGCTAGGCGTAAGCCTCACCCTGCAGTGCTCTGTGTCCTCCCCAAGCCTCAATGTTTCTGTCTGAGAAATGGGGAGAGAGCTGGAAGCCCCACAGTGTGGATTAAGTGAACTCCCGTCAGCTCCTGAACGTGGCTCCTCAGCCAATGGCACAGTTGTCCCAGGCTCCTTGGGCCGCCCCCAGCCCAGCTGGTCCCCCAGGACTGTGGGTAGGGCAGCTGTTGTCTCTGTGCTCCTGTGGGGCCTTGGGACCTGGCGGGGATTCACGGAGGGGGGATGCTGGCCGTGCCCCCAGGAAGTCCAGTTGGGCCCGCTCTGCCTGGCTTCCCCGCCCAGCCCAGGTGTCCACATTGGCCTCTGTTTCCCATGTCCTCGAGCACAGCCCCGCCCCGCCCCAGCCAGACAAATCCCTTCCCTCCTCCTCGGCTCTGCTGAACCAGGTTGGAATTTCTCAAAAGCAAACAAACAGGCACGCTCAGGGTTGCGGTTTTAGGAGCTGAGATTCCTCCTGTCTGTCTGAGGCAGCGTCAGGCCCAGCCGGCTGCCCATGTCAGGCTGGACAGGGCCCTCGCCTGAGCCCCCGGGGCCCAGGCTCAGAGGCTGTCGTCCTGAAGCACGGGGCTGGCCTGGGTCCCTCTCGAGATCTTGTGAGGACTGCCGGAGGCTGCAGCACAGGCTGAGCGGAAAGGACCCCGGGCCTGGCAGGCAGGATGCGGACAGGGATCGCTGTGGGGACAGCGGTGGCGCCAGGGCCACCAGGCAGGGCTGGTGGAGCCCAATGGGTGAGGACTGGAGGGCTCGGGGCTCAGAGCATCTATGCACCGGGGCGATCCCAGGCACAGAGGCAGGCAGCGAAGCCGTGTGGGAATGTGGGGGTGGGGAGGGGGGCAGGAGGGCACCTCAAGGGGCCTACGGGCTGGGAGGCAGGGCTGGGGCGAGGGGAGGGGCGGGAGGGGGCTCTCGCCAGGTGGTCTTAATCTCCTCAGTGAAATAGGAGTCCCGGCCGGCGGGGGAGGTGGGAGCCTGAGGAGCAGGAGACAGCTGCGGGGAGGGGGCGGCCTGGCGGCCCTGAGGCCCCTGCCCGCGGGCCCACTCCCCCAGTCCCTGGCCTGGACTTGCTTGGAGCTGGTTCTGACACCGAAGCCCCCCCACCCGACCCCTTCTGCCCACGTGGCCAAGAGGGTCCTGCTTGCATCCATGTAGGGGTGGACTGGCCCTTCCTGCTGTCTTCCCTGGCAGGGCAGGGGCTGGGTCAATCTCGCCTCTGCTGAAGCCCCCTCTTGGGTTCCCTGCACCCACTAAGCTGTCGGGGCCCCAAGGTGGTGCCAGTGGTGGGCAACCTGGGGACCAGGGCAGAGGGGAGGGACCTCCCAGATGGGGAAACTGAGGCCAAGAGGGGTGGGTGAAACTGGCCTTGGCCCCATGCTATGGGGCAGGAGGGAGGCCCTGTTCTGTTAAGTGGGGACTTGGCATCAGCTGTGCTGGGCAGACAGACAGACGGATGTGAGCTTTCACTGGTGCCCCAAAACCAACCCAGCCCCTCCCACCAGGGTGTTTGCCAGAACCCAACGCACTGGCCGCCCCATGCTGGGCGGCGTGTAGGTGGGCGCTGGGCTGTCTCAGGCCTGACTGAGAACAGCCAGGCCCTGGGGCCAATGGGAGCCCCCGAGGTGCCCAGTGGAGAAACCGAGGCAGCCCCGACAAAGCCAGCATGGCGCAGGGGCCCCGGA